AGAGGGAATTTACTTGTTTAAGGTCACGGGTGAGAGGGACGAGACGATCGAAAACGATGGAGCAATCGCACTGTACCTGGTATGGATTTGCTGTTAGAATGGCACGGTTTATTGGGACTAAAAATACATTGACGAATTCGTGATGATATTACTCATTAGTAGTGTTATGAGATTTCCGTGAGGTTCACACATTGTTGTGACGCGAATTAAATGATCCATGGTTTCCACTTGCATATAAATGTTTTCAACAACGAATAAAAAGCACACCAGTTGAGGCGGAGACTTTATTAGACAAATAACATCAATTATGCCTCCCCAAAATCTTCTTTACCTTGACATCAAACCAAGAAATAAAAACAGATACTTACCTGTCTTCTGACTTAGACATTACATACCGAAAAGCGAAATGCATTTGGGAAAACTTACTGCATTAGTTCTACATTCAACCATTATGTTCATCTCATGTTCTGTTTGCACACTCAATGGACCTCAATCGATGTGAAACGTAAACATGCATACGTCCTGCTCGGTGGGAAAATGGGCAAATAATACACGCTCCACTTTGAATCAATCAGCCCATTTTTGAAAATAATAAAATTTTAATCAGGTGTGGCAAGAGACATGATAAATGCCGGCGGTGAGTAACTCTAAATAATCTCGTGTTCAAACGGTGGATGAGCTAGTAGGCATATACCGTTAGTGAGCTCGAGTCTATTATTTCCCAGGTGTGTGCTCCACTCCGATCCCATCAGATTGAATCCAACAAACACGTACGGCAAAAACCGTCTCCCGGCCGACGATGAGGTTGACCAGATTATGTCCCTAAACTCCAAGGGATTTCTGCACCGACAACGACTGATTTGTTTCTATACAAATACTCAGGGTTTTTTCACTAAGTTTTTTGAAGTGGAACTACGTTGTCGGACCGGTCGATGGGATCTCATTGCCGTAACCGAAACCTGGTTGACGACCATGTCATTTCGTGTTTCCGATTCACTTTCTGATCCAATAGATGTCAACCGAGGGGTTCCACAGATATCTCTGCTAGGCCCACGTCTTTTTCTTGTTTTTATAGATGATCTTCCAGACGTCCTCGGACCACAAACTCTGCTGTTTGCAGACGAAGCAAAATGTGGAGGAAAATAACAAAGAAGAAGATTTATTTGATTTCCAGAACGCCCTTGACGAAGCCCCCAAATGGTCTATCTCCAATGATATGGAAATCAGTGTTACCAAATGTAAAGTCTTTTCACCACGTCACAATGGTTGTTTCCCCTACACTCGGACACAAAACTCTGCCTCATGCTCCATCTGAGAAGGATATGGGCATCATCCATGGCAGTAAAACAGGTTGAACTGCTCAAACGTGTTTTTGGGTCGTTTGAGCCGGCTTTGTTTCCAAGTCTGTTAGCCACATATATCCGTCCATACACCGAGTACTCCATTCAGGCCTGGAACCCATGGCCGCAGCGAGATCGGAAGGCACTCGAACATCCTCAAAGAATGGCTACCAAGATGGTTCAAGGTCTGCATTCCAAGACCTATGGCGAAAGATGAAGCTACTGGGGCTATACTCGTCTCACTATCGTCAAATCAGAGGCTATATGATCTTACTGTATCGAATTTTCTAACAGCCCAACCTTTTGTTTCTATCAACCAATGTTCATCTCAGAGGGCATCCACTGAAGTTAACACTTTAAAAGAGCCGTATCGACTGCCTAGGCCACTCTTTTGCAGTCAGAGTGTGCAGAACATGAAACTCTCTACCACCTCACGTGGTCTGTGCACCAACATTAGTGTCTTTCAAGCGTCAGCTTGATGATGCTCTGGCAAACATTATGTTTCAACACCCAACTACATAATATATTCTCCTGTGCTCTTCAAAACTATTACATTACTATTTTACTTACATGGACTAACTCTGATCTTGTGAATCGTGGTCCGAAACAAAGTGTAAACACCCTATGGGATTTGATAAGCGAAGTCTTTGTAAGTTTTTTCCCCACAATAAAACGTTTGAAAATTTGAATTTGAATTACTGGGCGAATTGGGGCTGGTGTTTGGATAATGGTCAGTCCGAAGCCATCAATTTAATACCTTCGCTAATTTAGGTCTTTACAGCGTGTTAGGTGGTATGTCCGAATTCGGTTTTGATCTGAAAATTTCTTGATGAGCAAAACATGTCGCGCTGACCGAATATTTACACTTATTAATTATACTCGCAATCAGTGCTGTGCTATGATGCTTGGTGAACGACTGGAACATTGTGCGATGGACATTTCGGCTATCAAACGAAAACGTTGTCAACTGTTGCTCATTGTTAAAATATTCATTGGCGATTCTGAATTGCGTTACGTTAGCCGCTAGTCTGAGAAAAAACTACGGGAACGCAGAGTGCTGTGTTATTCACATGAATTCATGGGATACCTCAGAACTCACGGATTTCTTGCTACGCAGCAGTGTCTGAATTATGCACCCATTTGTCCCGCGTTGGTTGACTGGCTCGGGCAACTAATATTGCTGTCTACAATACATCCCATCCAATATAAATATTATTGTATATATTGGATAACAAAATTACTCAAACCGCAAACCTAGTCAACTCATGAAACCTTATTACACAGTTCACTAACTCAGCATCCTGCGCATAGGTGTAGGCTACTGTTTTCGATTTTGATTACCAAATAAAAACCTTCTGTAGTTTGTATTAACCCCCATTTTCATGTTATCCTCTACTTGGTGACCATGGTTAACAGATAAAGAGCATCATAGTAAAATCGAAACATTTCGACAGATCATAAAATATACATGTATATAACAGAAGGACGGGTATACATCATCATTTTTGAGTGGTATTCACATCAGAAGATTAAAGATTAGGGAATGTATGACCTACACGAATAAATTCCGTGCTTGACGAACGTAGCTGTGTCATTCATTTTTGTAGACCACACTAGATATAAAAATCAGTTGACAAGTTAGAACGACATCTTTTTTAATGGGCATCGTAAAACTGTGTTGTAATGTTAACTGACTTGACTGCATCTCATACGTTCCAGGATAAATATCTCAATCACTCGAACGTCAAATAATGCACAAGCTAACGATACCAATCTAATGAGTAGTGCTCAGAAGCCGAACATTTGGTGAACAGCGGAGGACTTCTCAATTTGCTCGCCGATCCTACTTTCAACATTCCTGTTTTCCTTCTATTGTTCACCCAAATGGACCGCAAAAAGACAAAAACAAAAAGTGACGCACGGAAGTGCACGCTTAATGGTCGTTTAAACTGAACTGAACTGAACTGGATACCATCTGCTTAATCAATCTCAGGTTCAGTTCAGTTTGTACAACCATTAACCATGCACTTTCGAGCGCCGTTTTTGGATGCTATCTTTTGGTTGCCCATTTGGATAAAACAGCAGGCGCCACTGTTTGCGACATCAAGTCATATCACTCAGTGTATCTATTCATCGATAAACATCATCCCGAGGTCCCTAGCCAGGGGGCCTAACGGGACCTATGTGACCTAGTCTTCTGGTCAGGGTTTTCATTCTCTCATGCCAGGTCTTCGTTTGACCACTCTTGACCTTTTTCCAACCACTGTCTGCCTCGGCAAACATCTTCGCCGTGGTAACCTATTTGGTGACATGCGTAAAACATACCCCAACCAACGTAATCTATGGAGGTCGATGACTTTCTCCAGTGGACGGCCGCGACTATCTAAAACTTTTCGCCCAACCTCAACATTGCCCTTCCGGTTACCCCACCAGACTCGTGCAATGCGACGTAGACAGCGATGTTCGAACATCGACAAACTATTTTTATTCTGCTTCCTTAGTGGCCAAGTATCTGCACCATAGAGCAGAACGGGTCTAACCGCTGTAGCATATACTCGCCCCTTAACAGAAAGCCAGGTGTCGCGACGGCTCCACAGATGTCTCAGGTTGGCAAATGCCAAACTAGCCTTCTGTATACGCACCGACACTTCATCTGTGATGCGTCCGCTAGGTGAGATATAGCTGCCCAGATAACAAAATGTTTCTACTTTCTCTACTACTTCCTCAGTCAGGATGAAACTGAATGCTAGACCAACCCAATCTTGGAGCAACATTTTACACTTTGAAGGTGCGAAACGCATGCCGAATATGGCTACACTAGCACTTAGACTATCCAGAAAAGCTTGCAACTTACCTGAATCTTTTCTTAGTAGCATAATGTCGTCTGCATACGCTAGCTCGGACAGTCTGCCACCTGGAAGTAAATCGATACCGCTGTCCTCGCACGAGGTCAGAGCTTTTTCAAGTAACTCCATCTTATGCCGATTAAAAGGCTTCCGAGAACATATGTTCAACCATGATGTACATAGATCGTTGATTCCTCTTTTCATTGACGCTTATGAAGCAGAATTTGGATTGGAAAAGATAAAGACTGTAAAATAATCAGAAGCAGAACATGTTCATGAATTCACCGAGGCTTCGAATAGACCATTCGGTAAACATGTTTAAAAAGATGCAGCATAGAACCGTTCTGAGAATCAACGAGACCGCTAAACCGATAACAATGAGCACTGTAGCCAATTCCGGCGGGCAGGACATCTGCTTTTCGACCCAGGTAAAACCTTATGTTCCTGGGCAATCTCCACTGGCACGCCATACTGCGATTTAAATGCTGCAACTGAAGAGACTATTGTGAGATCACCCAGATCCACATTGCTACATTACGAGGCCAAATAATAAACTCGAATAATAAAACCACCAGAATATATCTTCCGCAAAATATGATCGTGTTAGCAACGATTCTCAATAACACCAACGGTTTTTCAGAGCAAAACAGTCATAGTAGTTGCTGCGCTTTGCTATATTTCACCTCACTTAATCAACACATAAAGAAACATCGAGTTCCGATGTCAACTAAATTTGTATGAAAGAAGTCATTGAATTAAATGACATAAGGGAATGAGCGTATAGAATTTAAAGAGCGAAATTTCAGTTTGCAAATTATTTTGAACTCGAACAAACTGTTCCGTCTTTATTAAGTAGACCTTGAAGAAACTGATCGTTGGAGTCCTCAATCCAGTCATCAAATGTGCGATAGTTGTTTGTTGCAAACCGCATTCGCATAACTTCTCTTTGTGACATCGGCTTCAATTCCTGGAACGGTCGACAATCACAGCCGAGGGTACACGCAATTTTTCCAGTCTCTTCTTTCGTTAAATACTCATCCGGATCTCGATAGACATAATGTTCAAGCAGAAATCGTGGATGTAATGCATTCAAATTGTCTAGATCACTGAAATATCGCGTTAGCGGGGTAGGTTCAGTGAGGCAAACCGATTTATATTCGAACTGAAACAACACTCGTTATGCATGAGTATAACTCACGTTGCCCAACTTTGGTGGAGCACAGTCTGCTTCCGATTTATCCCAACCAAGTAATCTCAATCCGCTTGAATCATAAACCCACGGTCTCCAGCGTTCCATCGGTTTTTTTACCCGGGACAAATTCTCGGCCCATCTGATTCTTGGTCCAGGATTACTGATCGCATCAATCTGGGGATCCTGAATATCAGGTAAATTATAACAACATTCGTGAAATAATACTCACCCATTTAGCACATTGGAAGAATTCGGCAGGATGAAACCCTGGAGGACAGACCCTTGAAACAAAAACATAAAGTGCATAGGTTAAAACCAACCATTTTGCTCTTGTCTCTCCCTTGCATTCATCCGGCTGGACATGACATTCACCAAGCGTGGTCTTTACGTGTACCTCTTCCATTTGTGATTAAATATTGATCCGCTATTGACCTCCCTCTCGAATCAGAAAACATCACGTGGCTTCTCCACGAATGCAATTGGCACGTAAGGTCACTGTCTCTTGTCACTGTCTCTCTCTTATTCACCCTTGTATTGTCTTATCTAACTCGGACATAAATATGAGTTTATGTACTCATACTGCTTTCTTCTCTGATTGAACACAAGTGGATGTTGTCTATTGTTACTTCTTCTTGTTTCCTATTCACTTCCAGATAAAAAAGTTTTAGTCATCAATGATAAAATTTTTTCAATACATTGAAAATTCTGTAAGTCGTAGATGACAGTTAAGTTCTTATACCAAAAGCACGCAATTTAAACAAAGATATTTCACCTCATTTTCGTCAATCTTCCTAAAAGAACATTAGGCTTCTGGATATAAATCTACTTAAATTACCAACAACAGATATTCGTCACTTTTGAATTGTCAACATCATTGTTAATTAAAACGTTTCTAATGGAATCACGTCCCCAATTATTTTGTTTCTATTCGGTAGTTCCCTTTTAATGAATATACTAAAATCAATAACAGATGTTATTTAATTAATGTAATCAAATATTCTTTGATTTTAACGCCATACTCTTCTTGATGCGCTTATTGAATCTTATGCATAACTAAGCAAAAGGTAGAGAGGTCAAATGTAGGAGCTAGCTTGAAATAATCAGCGGTACAGTTCCAGCATAATGCCCGGTCAGGGATGGGTACTGGGTTACACCATCCGAATATCTGGTGTCAGCACGATGCGCCAAACGAGGAGGTAGCTTGAATAGCAAATAACGTTTACCAGAGGATATTTCCAAACAACTTCGTAGGCAGAAGAAATAAGAACAATCGTGATTCAAAAGGGTCAGTGAGATTTGCACAGGACACAGTCTAAATTGGTGATGACAAGGCCGTTTGTGTTCAACTTCTCCCTGGTTTATTTGTCACTGCTCTGAATAATTCGTTCAGTTTTCGTCCGGCCGATTCATAGTGTTGCACACTAATGAGGTCCTAGAGGTCCTAGCTGTTTCCTCCATGTGAGGTATTATCAGCAATGTGCATAACCATCGAACTTACCGGGATTCGGACCCTATGTGGTGTGTTCTCTTTCATCAGTGTGGTTGAAAAATCTGAAACTTACTAGGCAGTGATCGAATCGCTGATGCAAGCTGTGAACAGCCAGCTCATGACGACCAAGTGATTAGGGTTTTGGAATAGTAACCCCTGGTGCCAGGGTTCGAATTCCAGGGCATTCAGTGAATAAGCATTGTTAATTTCTGACGAGGACAAAACAGCTAGCTGCACAGTGTACTTTCCAGGATTTCACAGATGAGTGGCACGGTACACCACTTCTGTGGCTTAGTAATCAACAAAAAAACGGATCGTGCTTCTGAAGGCCGGGGTCGCACCATACGATTATCTTCCATCTGAACTCTAAAAGTGTAAATTTGATTACAGCATACTTACGTTCTTATGGTGACACTATGTTTCAACTTGAGCATACAAAAAATAAACCTGTGACATATTCCCCAGTCACACCAACCGAATATGAGTTTCACTAAGAAGAACATCTATACTAACTGGTTTACATCCCCAGCATAGTTGTATCACGGTTTAAGAGGTCGCACTTTTTGAGGTGAATACACGGACTAAATATCAGAAAATGAAACGTTATACGCGAACGATTATGTGGCGTTTGCTAGATAGTCAAGAAAATTAATGCAAATTTAATAGCATATTTATGAATTCAAAATATGTTCTTAATTTCTGCATAATAATAATTATACAGATTTTTGTTGTAAAATACGGGGAATGGGGTCTTTGTCCACAAGTGTTCATACAGGGGTCTATTTGTATCAAGCTATTCTTTTATCGCATTTTATTGCTTAACGATGACAGACCGAGACGTGTAGGGTCCTGGTTCGAATTTTCGAAGGGGTCAGCCTAGCCACGCAATAGACGAGAGCCAATTGCTCTGAAAAGCTTCACGAGATTAGGATAATCAGGAATAACTCAAAGAGGTTTTACCATTCTCAAACACTGTTATTCCCGCCTTTTACCACGTCTCGTCTGAGTGCATACCGTGCAGATATTAACTAAAACCTAACCACAGTTATTTGGAATAGTGCGATGAATTGTCTACTCGAAAATTTGCTTAGCTCAACAAAATAGGAATATCACTGTGTAAAAAATACCACGTGTCCGCTCTTTATTTCTTTTTTTATTAACCATGAGTTTTGTGAGTTCAAAATGCTATTTTTCTAGTATTCCATATGCACACATAACATGGTTTGTGCTTAGTTTTTTCTCAGCAAAGAAAACCAATGTCTACGTTTCCGTTCGTCGGCTGCTGCCGGACCATGCTTCAACAATATACATATATGCTATCTTACAATCCCGCTTGTTCACCATCAATTCCAGTATCAAACTGCGTTGTCCTCCACGTGTTTCATGTGCCAGACTCGCCCCAGGTCGATAAAACACGTATGCACCCTGTGCAGGTTTACCTCCGCCTACTCGGAGGAACGTGCTCGAGCAATAGCATTCTTGGTCCTACATCCCTCTACCTCTCTCCACTTTATGCAAATGATGTACACAGTTTTTCTCATATCCGTATGTATCTCTCTTTATCTCGTACCCTCGCTCGATCTCTCTCGCTCGCTCGTGTACGCGTTCTGTGGTTAGTGTGAAGTGATTGTTTTGCAGCCAACAGGACTGTGAACCGACCCCAGAGGTCAAACAGTTGTCGGTTTGGAATGCTACAACCACAAACCGCTCAGTTCGGACTAACAGCAGAAGACTACTTCTAGCCGACTATGCGAAGCATTTACACTTCCACTATCGCTCGATATTCACCTGAAACGTAACACAGATGAACCGTTTTTTATCTAAACTTTTGTCTAAGGGAACTCTTCTCAGTAATTTTCTACACCCCACAGTCTTGTTTTCTACCCATTATTGATCGAACCCACCAGACTCCATCCTCGTAAACAACTGTTCAGGCCTTCAAGTCTCTTAACAGATACAGATGCTTTACCTTAGTTGGTTAGAAAACGAGTTATTTCTCCCCACTATATTTTGCTGTACGAGGATGATGATGATGACGATGATAATATTATTTCAAAACACAAATTAGATCACTATCGAAACGGCTTCCAGAACTTCTTCTCCAAATCGGTGTTCAGTATCAACAGGGATGTGGATTTGGTGACGCAGATGAGCGTGGTGATTTTCGTTAGAAAGTTGAATATCCGCTTGTTGGCTTGCACTTGATTTGAGAACTAACTCATCGCTCCCGTGTACCCCGGTTGGCATATAGTTCACATGAAACCCTGCTTTACTGTTTTGGTGTCGTTGTAAATAAGGTATTTTTAATCATATTAGAAAACCGAAGACTATTGTATAGACTTTAGTAAAACCTGTGCCAAACCTTCATTGGTTTTCATCAACAGGAGGACATTTGTATTCAGCGCAGAACAAAGTTCAGTGTTCATGTAATAGACTATTTCATTCGCTCACCTCTGGTGCTGAAGTCACCCTTCCGACGGATAACTTTAAGCTTTTCTTCGTTTCGTTGAAAACCACAATGTGAGTAAATCGTCAGAGATGAAGCTTACACTTCAACCAACTAGCATAAAAAAAATGAATAATATAAATAGTTGAATGAATACCGCTGAACAAAAGTGGTACTTACGATCCCTATCAGTATTTGGGTGGTTTAAGTAATAACGCTTTCATTCATCCGTTTGGTCGCTTTTCTGTCGCCGCAAGTGACCGTCATAAATAGGTTTCAAACGGCTGCTTGATCAGTATCATTTCAGAGTGCTGTCTTATGGGAATACACCGATCAGAAGGCATCTGAGATACTCTCATGTACGAGGTCCCTAGGGGGCGATCGTTTTCTCCGACTTTAAATGTGATTTAAAGCAGTAGTAAACTGTTGACCGTTTGCGAACTGCCTTTGGTGATGATGCTCCTTCAAAACGCACTGCCTTTGGGTAGTTCAAGCGTGATAGGTGGTTCCTGGATGATGAAAAACTGTGTGAGGTCAACCTGTGGAGGCCACCACAGCGGACAACATTGTTTCTATGCAAGCGATGGTGGAGGAGAATGAGAGGCTGACGTGGAAGAGTTGGCGGGATCAATTCACACTATCCTACATTAGAAGCTCGGNTTTTGCCCGCGCTGGGTACCCTATTAGCTCAATGAGGAACAGAAAGCTGTTCGATTGAATTGGTGCCATAACATACCTGCCAGATTTGATGGTGGACGTCCCAATACAGTTTGGGAGCTAATCGGTGGTGATGAAACCTGGCTGTATAGTTTCGTCCCAGAGACCAAGCAAAAATTAGCTCAGTGGGCACCGATTGGTCGGACGCCGCCTCAGAAATTCCAACTCGAGGGTAGTCTGGCAAATCAGATGGTGGCCGTTTTCATGACCAAAAACGGTTATGCGGTNACTGCTTGTAAAGCAAAGCATAGTCACCGGAGACTGGTAAGCCACTCACCGTTTGCCGAAAGTACTGGAAGTTGTTGACGGTCGTGGTCCAGAGACTCGAGCACGAGCGACCTTGCTGCATTATAACAGCGCACCTGCACACAATTCTCATGTCATCAGTGATTTTCTGGCTAGAGAACGCATCCAGGAGATTTGCCACCCTACGGTCCAGACCTGGTTTCGTGTGATGTTTTCTGTTGCCAAATGTCAAGCACATGATGTGTGAAATCCGATACGAGTCGCCAACAGCCGCAGTGGAGCTCTTCATTGAACTAGTCGAAGGGTTAACTGCTTCGACACGGTCGAGCTATTTCACTAGCTGTTTTGAGTGCACGGAAGTGTACATAAAGGCTGATGGAGGATACTTCGAGGAAATGTAATGCTTATTTTTGAGTAACAACTCAAGCTTTTTGTCCATCCAAAAATTTCTTCTCAGCCCTCGCATAATTGAAAGTGGAATGATTGAACAACAACTTTACGAAAGCTGCGGTATGAAGTGCATTCTCTAGGCAGCAACATAATTGATTGGTATTTCTTTGAATCCGAATGAGGGTTGTGGTCAAAGCGTTTCTGTCGTCTGTTTCTCTAGCATTTCTATATAGTTGTGGTAATCCACCCCTCCGAGATGAAGCCAATCAAGGGGCGACGCGTTACAGTTTCTACAGACAACGAACCCCAGGTCAATCAGAAGCCATGCGGTTCAAACAGAATCTGTGTGACAAAGGGGACAGAAGCAGGTGATTGATGAGGATCTGTTCAACTAATAACATTTCTTTGTATTCAATCCCGTTGATTTTTCCAATAAACTAACCACTAGCTCCGTGGCCTTTTTCCTGCGTCTCGTCTTCGGCAGATGAATACTAGTGCGATTCTTGATTAATGATTAGTGATTCTTGTCCACCCTAATTACTGCAATAGTGCAGTGACGCATTACTGTAACTGAAGATCTCCTCTATGGATGTATGCCAGAGATTCTGAAGTCTCCGGAAAATTTGTCTATGTGATTATCACCCGAAAGACGTAAATGTGAATCCCATCATTGCATTATATTGTTGACAGTTGGTAGTTCGCCTGTTTCTCGACTCGAAACTACACCCTATGTTGATCAAAGTCACAGGTGGAGCGTTTCTGACAATGACTTCTTGTGAGGGTCGTACAAGGTATTTTGGTGGATTAGTGCGTCTAACTTGCTGGCTTACTCTTTGATCTTTGGTCATCAGCATTTACCCAACTCTCACAGGTGACCCCAAAAAACTGAGTTGCACATCCATGGTCATGCTTTGGCAAACGCCTCTATTAATGGGCTTAACTTCCTGCTGAGTTTTGCTGAAAAAGAATTCTTCTGTATAAAAGCTATACCGTTAAGTGGTATCAGCCAAGAAGTTTTTTATGCAGCTTGTTAACAAATTAAAGGAAAGGGGGCATAACTCCCAAGGAGATCAACGGTAATACGAACTAGAAACATATAAAGGTTACAATGCTTTTTCTCACGGGACGTTCCATCTATGACCAGTGAGATTTCAGTAATAACATTATTTATTCGATGCTTTACAACGAATGTATTAACTGAGTTATCGTTGTGGGGGTGTTCGTGGTGGTGGTAGTAGTAGTAGTAGTAGTAGTAGTGTTGTGAGATACTACTCACTTGTGAGTAGTCGGTACCTTTCAATGATTAAAAATAGAACAAGACCATCAAGGACCAAGTAATATATTTGGGAAGAATAAACACTGCCTGCTATACCCATTGCCCCATGTGTCGCGATGTGCTGCGAAGGCATGTTTCTGATGAGCTTTTCGTGTTATGCATGCAAAATTAGTGACCTTCAATCTGTATTCAGCAATAAAGAACTCTCCTCGACCAGCACCGCCTTTTCGGAATATGACAATAGTAGTAGTAGTAGTAGTAGTAGTAGTAGTAGTAGTAGTAGTAGTAGTAGTCGTAGTAGTAGTAGTAGTATCTGATTTACAACGTTTGGTTCCCGTTTTTCGTGAACGTCTCATCGT